ATAGAGTACACGCAACAAACGCAATAGCATAGACAATAGGAAAATGCATGTTTGACCTTTAATACGTCCTATTCAAAGCTCTTTCTAACTAAACAGGGAGTAACCTTTAAAATTATTCAGCAAGGCATTGGATGAAGTTGATGCCACATTGTATTAAAACTCACTATAATGTGACAATGATGAAGTCAACACCACTGTGCATGTCTTTAAGTTTCAATACATGTGAAACTTCAACCCAAAAAAAGTGATAGGAAATTTTCAGAACATGAAAGCATTAGAATTATAATGATTTATTTAAATTAAGCAATATGCTACCAATCAAATACAAAACATTTCTTAAGAAAGGTCAGACCTGAAATTCTATAACTTTGGGGAAATTCTATAACATTTAGGAAAACACGTCCAGTGATGTATGTTTATGTAGAAGATAAAACAAGGCCTGAATGTTTCATTGCACTTTGCGAAATTACATTGAATCAAAAGATACAAATATGAAGATTTTAAATGAATTAATTGAAGTACTCACATCAAAATCTTCCCCCAAAATGGAGGTGAAATCATATTAGATCATAGCATTATATTCTAAAAGATCAAATGGCAGTACCTCAGATATCTTGAGCAACTCGCATAATTGACTGCACCTTTCCTCTCTTATCTGCAATGGTTTTAGAATAAATATGTCTATTTGATCTGAATCATTAAAAAATTATAGAGAAAATTAAATAAATTAGACTAAAACCCTTTTTAACAAAAACATTCATAATTCTTGACAAGTTACTCTGATCTTGAAACTCGCCTTTGCGCTTACCATTCTTCCCTCTTATTTTTCTCTATCTTTTTCTTATATTTTACTTTTCCCTGAAAATGACACAATATAAAAAGAAAAATCCCATCAACAAACACAAAATCTCAGAGAGAGTTAGAGATTAGAAATCTAAATTCATGCGATTAAAAATTCACACCCATGCATGCGTTCTATCTCCCTCTAAAGAGAGTTAAAGAATGTAAAATGTTTTAGGTTGGCTCGTCGGATCCAGGAAAGAATAGAATATATGAATTAAATAAATGATAACATTTTCAAATATGCATATAGTAGAGAATTACAAATGAGTCCATAATCAGAAATTACAATATTATTTTAGCAAATTTTACACATGTATCCAAAAAAGCAATACTTTGCCCAATTTAGAAACATTTTATATGTCACCTTAGATTCTCATATTGCAAATATTTCCTCTATCCAAATTAAACTCATAGTATCAAGTAAGAGAGTAAATTCAAATTATCCATATTGTTCATATCTATATTTCTTCAATACTACTGCTATCAAGGAAAGAATCAGCACTGGAAGTGTTCAATAGCCTCCCTCTCCTTGCTGTTTGATGAGCTAATTACTTTCACCTTCATTCCAATCCTATCCAAATTTCACTACAAAATGTCAAAGGCTACCACGCCCAACCATGTATGAACCATGTGATTAATTATAATGAAATAGGTATGGAGTTTCAAATGCATTTGATCACAAAAACACATGTATGAATTATGTGATTAATTATAGTTACATAGAATTTATTTCCATCTTAAGTGGCATGTGTATTTCAAGTTATATTATACATATGTTTTACAGTGTTATGGAGAAGACTAACAAACTGAGAATAATTTGCCACAGTGAGTCCATTAGCCTACAAGACTACTCATCGGTCAGTGGGAGTTATTTGAAGAACAAAAGATAGAAAATGACAAAGTTAAATTAAAAATTGCCCCTAAATGTGGGGATATTTACTCTTATCATATTTGAATGACCATTATATTTAAAAATTTTAAATAAAAAATAATCAAAAGTTTTGTCACCCATATCATCTTTTATATGTAGTGTGTGTGTGTGCGCGCACGTGTGTGAATAAGGTTTTCTTTCACTTGTTAGATCCTCGCTACTAAATTCCTTAACATTGTAATATAAGCTCTAGAAAAATATCTATACATGAGCATATTTAGTAGATAACACTAATCTTGGTTTTGCATAAAAAGATTTTATACTTGTTAAATATAAAAATATGAGGTCCAATTTGAAATAGACAATTGTATGTGTAATTAAAACATTCAAACTTGCATATTTATATTTCTTATATTCTATATTAGTTTTCCCCTCCAACAAAAATTTTAGTTTGACCTCCAAAAGTAACCACTATGTTTGTAAAATTCAAAATTTTGAATTTAATTAGTATCACAATCAATAGTATAAATAAAATTGACATAATCAAGCAATGATAAGAGACCAACCATATTAGACACTCAGTGCAATTCAAGTTCAAGCACATTCGAAACTAATTACAATATCTAAGCTAAGTTCCTCATATCACATAGCGTTATTATGAGGCTGAGAGGTCATACCTTCTTTGGATCAAGTAGGTAATCATGCATACTGTTATGCTTCAAGAAAATAGTCATGCTCTTGTTTGCAGTAGAATACAAATAACCAGTTGTAGTACCAAATTGCCACCTAAAAAGACTACTGAACTTGGGTCATAATAGGATTTACAAAGAGTAAATAAATTTAGAAAATTTAACCTCAAGTCTAAAATCCACAATGATATTAGAAGGTTATGTTTTTTTAAGATAATAAATGCATAAATGTGATCTAGGATCTAAACTAACAAAAACGTGAAAGATATCCAGCTCTGAGAAAGATCCTGCAAAAAAAACTAAGATCCAAGGCACATCCATCACATGGAAAATGTAAGTCAAAATTTGCCCAAGAATAACATAAATTTAATAAATCTAATAAAAATGCAGAAAGAAAACAAATTCGATCGAAGTGGATGAAAATGTCTCTCACACCTTGCTTTAGGCCGACTTCTTTTTCGACGGTGTGATATTGAGCGCACTTCGTCTTGCTACATAAATTTATCACAAGAAATAGATCAAAACAAGTTCTAGCCATCACTCTTTGAAGAGATCTAATTAGCTAAAACCATAGAAATCAAACAAAACTAACCAATATGTACAAAGAGATCAGATGAAGAAGAAATATAACAGAGCTCAAATTATGAAATGGATTTCATACCAGTGCTCTCTCCTTGTATAACCCCCTTCGACAAATGACAGGCTTGAGATTGAATTTGAAAGATGCTAACGCTGGTTAGATATTGAGAAGGAGGAGAACAAAGCATTGACCAAGAGGAAGGAAGACAGAGGAGAATGTAGAGTTGAGAGAGAAATTTAGATGAGAGCGGAGATGGTGAAATGAGGGAGATATGAAAGATATAGTCAATAGAAATCAATAAAAGTTTAAGCGTTGTTGCATAATGATAAGGATAACGAATGGGAAACGAAAAGCCTTGGAGTTTCATTAAAAGCTCATGGCTATCGTGGATAATGTGAATGACTACATTAGCTGAAGGAATTTTTTGCATTATGCGTGGAGTTCAATTGGTCATGTCACTTATGGAGATTTAAATTCAAGCCAAAGGGGTTGGTGAGTTTTCGTATTCAGCACATTAATTAATGAGTTATGGAAGGTTAAGAGTCTAAGACACTAATTAAAGCTTACTATTGTGATGAGGAGAAAATTAGAATTAAGTAATTTGTAAAGGGCAAAATGGGTATGAAAAAGTTTTAACATGGGTATTCTCTTTTATAAGTAGTATAGATTAGAGGTTAACTATAAAACACTAAAAGTTCTTGGAGGTTTACTGTAATACACTTTTAAGAGCATGTTTAACAACTTATTTATTTCTTCTTGTAAGTAACTCTTTATTTATAAGGTGTCAATGTTGTGTTTAGTAAGGATTACTTATGTTACTTATTTGCTACTTTAAGTAGGGAGACAATAAGTTAGGATTTCTCAACTTATTTTTTCTCTAATTATAAGTAATTTTCCTTATTCTGGCCAAAGCACAAAAATACCCTCGTATTCCCTTTATTTAGTTAAATATTTTCTTATTATAAAGTGACTAATATATTAATTAATTACTTAATAATTATTATTTTATTAACATAAAACTAATCAATCTCAATATCACTAATTAATAATCACAAATAATGTAATATATAAAAATATTTTAGTAAATTATATTTCTTTCTATGAGTTAACAAATTTTTACATAAGAATTAATTATTTTATTAATAATAATATTTATTAATATGAAATTAACTAATTAATCATAGTATTAGTAATTAATAATCATAAATAATCTAATACATACAAATATTTTAGTCAAATATATTTCTTATTGTGAGATAAATAATTTTTATTTAATTGATTAATTATTTTATTATTATTAATAATATTTTACTAATATGGATTTAACTAATTAATCTCAATGTTAGTAATTAATAATCACAAATAATGTAATATATCGGATTATTTTAATCAAACACCTTTCTTATTATGAAATACCTAATTTTAGTTAATTAATTAATTAATTAATAATAATATTTCATGGCAGTGAAAGTAATTAATTAAACTCAATATTATTAATTGATAATTATAATTAACTTGAAATAGTTAATCTTAAATTAATTGTTTTTAAATAATTAATAAATATTATATTATTAATTATCTGGTTAATATAAAAAATTAAAATAAATTAATTAGTCATAATATAGAGTTACAATAATACGTTCTTTTTAGGCATTTATCACAACCTTATAAGTTATTAGTTTATCAAACCCATAACTATCCGTGCATCCATATAAGTTAAAGGGTTTACCAAACAACTATCTCATTTTCTTACATACTTATAATAAGTTTTGAGAATAAGTAATAAATAACTTACAAGTATTCCAAAAATAAGTAGTAGGCAAACAAGCTCAAGAAAAGTTCAAAACTTGATTCAATATAAAAACAAACTTTTCCTTTCAAATCCAAGCTTCATGAGGGAGAAGGTTTGCAGACTACAGATAAATTAAATTGTACTGCGGAGCATCATAATCCTTCAATCCGAGCCTCATCCTGTGGACTAAAAAATTACACAAAATCTCCAAAATTAATGATAAAAATTCACAAAAGCAGGAAGAGATATAAGGGGAGAGAAAAAAAGAGGCTGGAGGAGAAGAGAAGAGCAGAGCAACACAAATTAGCCAATCACTTCTAAAGCTCTTCATCAAACTCAATAAAGAAAGAAGCTGAACTTAACAGAGAGCAAATGGGCACTGCAGTCTTCACTACTAGCTGCTGCTTCTCTCTCAGCCGAATGCAGAGACTCAGAACGAGAGCTTTCTGTTCACGGGCAGCAAGAGGAGATGAGGAGAGAGATGGGGTTGGGACTCTAGGGAGGAGGCCTGCTTTGGTATCTGGGCTTTCTTTAGCTTCTGGGGTTTTGATGGGCTTTACAGGAGATGGGGTTGCTGCAGTGAAGCAGGGGCTTTTGGCTGGAAGGATTCCTGGATTATCAGACCCAGATGAAAATGGTTGGTCCTTAATCTTGTGCTTTTTCATGGATTTTTTTAAAGTTTATGCTTTTCTAGTTGAAGCTAGTTTTGTGCTATATGATTCCGACAAAGCTTTTTTTTTTTTTGGATGTTAAACTAGTTATTTAGTCAAAATCCCTTTCACGTATCAACTTTCAGAGTTACGATAACGGTTGAGAATTCATATTTATATTAACCGTTATTTTTAAGGATTAAAACTGGGTTATATTTATATGCATGCCCATGGGATTTGAACCTAGGCTATTCTAATTTTATCAGCCTTTTGACATCGTACCAGAGCAACCTAGATTTAACTACCAGAGTGTGAATTTAAAGCAGACTTAAAAAAATTAATACCACGACTTCGGAGTTTTGATGACGGGGATATATAAATATATGGATGTCTTTAGTCTGTAATGCAATTTACATTACTATTTTTTCTTATTTTCTTTTTTTTAAAAATAGTGGATTGTTCTTAATAAGAGGAAGGAATGGCTCAGACAGGTTGGAGGACTTATAGGAGGCCAGATGAAAAGTCTGGAGGACATGGAGTTGGGTGGAGTCCTATAATCCCATACACCTTCAAAGTTCCTCAAGGCTGGGAAGAGGTGAGCTTTTTGATTATTTTCTTTCTTTTCTCATTCAATTTGATTTAATATCTGAGCATTTATAGATTCTTGTGCCTTAGGTTCCTGTATCAATTGCAGACCTTGGCGGAACAGAGATTGACTTAAGATTTGCAAACAGTCAACAAGGTCGCTTGTTTGTTATTGTGGCTCCAGTTCTAAGATTTTCTGCAGGTACTAAAAATTACTGATAGATTCACAATGAAATTGATTAAAGATCTGTCGAAGGACCTTGCCACTATATCAAAACTTCGAAGTTAATGGTGAGGGTTGAGGGTTATATTTTTATATCTTAACAATGCCTCCCGCATGTTGAATGCCCTTTTTATGGGCCGAAATCTAGACTCACGTAACGGTGTCAATATTTAAAATCTGCTTTAAATTCGTGGTCGGTGGGATTTAAACTTGGTTTGCTCTGATACCATGTTCAAGTCCCTAACCATTACACCAGAACTCAGAAATTAAGGTGAGGGTTATAGGTAATATTCTAGCAAGTTCTAAAGCAGAGCATAAATGGGAAGCGTTAAATTAATTGAACATACTTGTACATTAGTCTTTTCCACGCCTAAAAGTATGAAAGAAAACAGAAATTGAGATTGTTCGCAGAACAATATCGATCACAAGTACACCAAAATTAACGAGGTTTAGGCTTAGTAGCAGATGATCCCTTCTAATTAGAATAGAGAGAAAGAAACTACAATTAGAAGAGATCCTTGTAGCATCAATCATCAAGCCCTCATCTTACACATAGTACGTATAAATCATAAATCATATCTTGAAACTCTGAGATTATTATCATGAAACGAAATGCCCAGAGTACACTTTCAACAAGTTTGAACTTTCTGAAAAGATCCTTTGACAGTTGGAAACTGTAATATACTGAAGATAATATCAAGCAGATTAGGATTCAAGACGTCCCAACGCATTCCATTGGAATGCACAGGAATGAAACTACTAATTCTGATAGGCTTTGAGTAAATTACATTAAAGATGTTTGAGAAACAACTTCAGCCTAATGTTTATTGATAGTAAATAATAATAGACTAGAGCTAATTATCTTCAACTGTTAATTGTGATTCAGATCTCGGTGATGATGTTAAAATAGAACAGGTTGGGTCGCCGGAAAAGGTGATAAATGCATTCGGACCAGAAGTGATTGGAGAAAATGTAGAAGGCAAAGTTTTAAGCATGGAAGAAGCAGATTATTCTGGGAGAAAATATTACCAGTTTGAATTAGAACCTCCTCATGTACTAATTACCGCTACTGCTGCTGGAAATAGACTTTACCTGTTTGGTGTCACTGCAAATGGTAAAAAAACAACTGTACAATTATTTTCTCATTAAATTTTATTTGGTTAATTGGACATAGATCCCTTGTAGTATCGGCTATTTTGCTCTTACTACTTCTGTTGTTTTACAGCTGCCTTTTGGGTTAAATTTTTTTTGACCCTTTTACCTTTAGATAGACGTATTAACTTCCACCTGAGGCAATATATGTCAAAATTTCATCAAGGTAAAAGCGTTAAGAAAAAAAAAACCAGGAGGTCTATCTGCAACAAGGAAAGCGGGGGAAGTAAGAAGAAGAATGCGATACTACAAGGGGTCTACGTGCAATTAACCCATTTTAATTTCTAGGAGAAAAAATATATCATTTCTGATATCGGATTTTTTCCCCCAACAGGTTTGCAGTGGAAGAGGCATTACAAGGATTTAAAGCAGATTGCACAGTCCTTCCGTGTTGTTTAGAAGATTGATACAGAGTAAGAGGCAATTGGAATAGAAATATATTGCAATGAAAAGCTTTGCGTGTACTTTGATCAGAAACCTCAGTGGCATTTCTTTGGGGAGTTCTTGATTGTTTCGACTCGAATGTACAAGCATAAACAACATAAATCTAAATGTGATGTGATTTGCACTTTTTGATATTTTAGTGCATCTGAGTAAAATTGTGTCTACTCTTCTTTTGTTGCCTAAACTCTTTGAATTCGGTATGATCTTTTCGATGGTACATACTCTGGGGGTAAACTTAGTAGTCTCTGATTAAACTGGTGTGCAGATGTAATCGGCATTGAGTTTACCACAAGGAAAGCAAGTTATGGTTTTCAAGAATTTCAAACAGGGAGTCTCTTGCCGAGACTCGACAATGTGAGAGAGAGGTATCTAAACAGTAACTTAAATTATTACTTTCTAACATCAACAAATATTACTTTCCAACATCATCTAAATATTTGGTACTAGATTGAAACCAAATTATTAGGACCCTGTCCGTATAATATCCTTTAATTGATTAATAACAAACTTTAATTTGTTACCAATTTGTGTATGAGGTCACTTGTGTAGAATGACGAAGAAAAGAGTGAAAAATGAGCACCAGCAGATATAAGTTTCAGTTCAAAACGATGAAACTATAGCAGCTCCATCGATTGATCTACACTCATCGATTGGCAGATTGCCCATCGATGAGCATTCATCAATCGATTGACTGTGAACGTGGGCCACCACGTTCTCAATGTGAACGCATGAAAGGAGATTCCACTTTGGTGGGGGCCACGGATGTGCGTGAGCAGCAACGAACGCGGTTTGTTTCTGTGTGGTGATGGCCAACCCGAATATCTCAACTTGAGATATAAATACCTCCGCGTTTTCTTCCCTAGGGCTTGGTGCAGGTGAAAATTGGGGATAGAAAAGTCAGGGGTGCGGCTGCAGAGAATAGGTGCGGCTGCAGAGAGCTTGGCTTTGGAGAAAAATCCTAGGGTTTTGTGAAGAGAGAAAAAGTATTTGGTGGCTGACCTTTTCTTGTGAAGAAAAGCAAGGAGCTTATTCGAGGGTTTAGATTGTGAGAGTTATAAACCCATTTGTATTCTTTTTTCTCTATAATAGTAGATCCCCCTCCTTGCCCCGTGGACGTAGGCAGTGTTTGCCGAACCACGTAAAATTGATTGTTTGAGTTTGTGGCCATTGTAATAGTTTTAGGATCCCTCGACGCGCAGTCCTAGAGCTGACGAGAGGAAGAGCAAATATCCCACTTTGATGGGATATTAGGCTTTCAGATTCTTGTTCCCTTTAAGAAACAAGAATTCTTATCGATCTTTCTCTATTATTATGCACCAGAAACTCTGCCGAAATTTCCGCTGCGCACAACATTGACATGTTGCTCTTTCAATCGATTTGCTAAACTTATTTCGATGGGGAAATTCGACTTCACCCATTGAAGAGCAAAACGCCCATCAACGAGCTTATGCCCATTGATGGACGCTGGGCCAAATCAGCAACTGAGTTGAGGTTTAATCTTAGTCATTGGTTGTATTGGGAAATTTAGTCTCCCCGCCTACTGCGATCTGCTCAACTCGGAAGCCAACCCACAATCAACAAGATATAAAACAACCGCAATCAAGAAGAAAGAAAATCGAGATTTACATGGTTCGATCGACCAACTTCGACCTACGTCCACGGGCAACAATACGAGAAATTCACTATGTATCAAGGAGAACTATAAGAGAAACCACTCAACTCTCGTTTCTCAATCTCTCAACCTCACATACATAATTCACTCTCATATTATCTCCAAAGCTCACTCCTTACAATCTTTTAAACGGACAAACACTGCGAAACCCTCTCCCAATGATGTAATCTTTTTCACGGATAAAGACTACGAAACTCTTACCTCTCGCACAATATTCTTAAATCAGGCTACACCCTCTGCTAACCCTAAATTACAAGAATATTGGCTCTCTCTTCTCTGCTTGGTTTTTCTTCCAACAATAAAAGAATATATATAGGGAAACCAAAACCCTATCTTTAGTCTAACTTCCTAATTAGAATAGGTTTCAAACTCCTAATCATGATGAGACTCAACCTCGTAATCATGATAGATCTCTAACCCTATTTAATTATCATGAAGTTATATAAAGAATCAAAGACACAATCTCAACCGGTCGTTGCTGATAAAGATTCTTCTCTCCTTTTTTTAGCAATTTTTCTAACCTAATTGTGAAGAGAAAAAGAGAGAGGAAGAGGGAGAAGTGCTTAGGGTTTGAAGAAACGATCAAGCTCATCATCTGGATCATGTTGTTACTAATAGGAATTATCATAATCTCAGTCCTCTTTGAATATAAACAAATAAATTCAAACAAATGATTTATACGCCCCTTGATCACACCACCATCGTTTAATATTAATAATCCTTCATTACACTACTAGTGGCGGAGCCAACCCCCACGCCCCCCCCACCACCCAACCCAACATTCGTATGTGGCTCCGCCACTAGTTAGTGTAATGAAGGTTATTAATATTTAAACGATGGTGGTGGATCAAGCATCATCTCTCTTTCT